ACTTTGCTGCTCACTGTCGTCTAGACTACGCCGCGAGTCTTGTTGCTGAGTCTGAGTCTGTCTGTCCTCCGTCCGTCGGGGGTGAGTGTGCTCTTGGCACGGACGTCCTTGAGGACAGGCAGGAGGACTTTGAGTGCTTTGCAGCTGCTGTACCTCATCTCGTGTCTATGCTGATTGCACTTGAGGGAGACCCGGATGCACCAGACATCCCGACCCCGCGCTCTTACGCAGAGGCGATAGAGGGTCCCTACTCCTCTTAGTGGCAGTCAGCCATGGACGCAGAGATGGCATCCTGGAAGTCCCCCTCCTGGGGCGAACATCGTCAGTGGCATGTGGATTTTCAGGGTGAAGCGGCCGCCGGGTTCTCCGCCTGTCTTCAAGGCGCGTTACGTTGCTCGAGGCTTCAGTCAGCGACAGGGAGTTGACTTCTTCCAGACCTTCTCCCCGACCCCGAAGATGACCACTCTTCGGGTTCTGCTGCACGTCGCTGCTCAGCGTGACTACGAGCTTCACTCTCTTGACTTCAGCACTGCTTTCCTACAGGGCAGCCTGCACGAGGAGATCTGGCTGCGTCGCCCACCTGGCTTCACTGGGTCGTTTCCTCCTGGTACCCAGTGGAGCCTCCGGCGGCAAGTCTACGGTCTCCGCCAGGCGCCCCGTGAGTGGCACGACACACTGAGGACTACGCTTGCGGCTCTTGGGTGTGCTCCTTCTACTGCTGACCCGTCGCTGTTTCTGCGCACCGACACTTCGCTGCCGCCGTTCTACATCCTCGCGTACGTGGATGACTTGGTCTTTGCTACTGCTGACACTGAGGGACTCGCCCATGTGAAGTTGGAGTTGCAGAAGAGACACACGTGCACAGACCTGGGTGAACTGCGCAGCTATCTTGGCTTGCAGATCACCCGGGACAGAGCACGGCGCACCATTACCTTGACTCAGGCACACATGGTGCAGCAGGTCCTTCAGCGCTTCAACTTCACGTACTCCTCGCCTCAGGCCACTCCTCTGTCTACTCGCCACTCACTCTCATCTCTGCCTTGGGATGAGTCCGTAGAGCCGAGTGGCCCGTACCCAGAGCTTGTTGGCTGCCTCATGTACCTAATGACCTGCACTCTTCCTGACCTGGCATTCCCTCTTAGCATCTTGGCACGCTATGTTGCTCCTGGGAGACACCGACCAGAGCACATGGCTGCAGCTAAGAGGGTGTTGCGCTACCTGTGCAGTACGTCGGGCACGGGGCTCATGCTTGGAGGACGGGCTCGATTTGTCCTCACTGGTCACGCAGACGCTTCTTGGGTTGACGACTTGGCTACGCAGCGGTCGTCATAGGGTTACACCTTCAGCCTTGGTTCCGGCTCTGTTTCGTGGCGGTCTACCCGCTCGTCTTCTGTTCTCGGCTCCAGTTGTGAGGCTGAGATCTATGCTGGGGCCATGGCTGCACAGGAGTTACGCTGGCTCACCTACCTGCTGACCGACTTGGGAGAGGCGCCTCGTTCTCCTCCAGATCTGTACGTCGACAACAAGGCCATGCTGGCCTTGTGTCAGGAGCTCAGACTGGAGCACAGAACGAAGCACATTGCTCTGCGCTACTTCCTTGCTCGAGAGTTGCAGCAGCGTGGTCAGCTTCGTCTTGCTTACGTGGCCTCTCGGGCCAACACTGCTGATATCTTTACCAAGGCACTTCAGCCTTGTGATCATCAGCGTTTCTGTACTATGCTTGGTCTTGTGCCTACCGGGCCTCACTTGCTTACCTCTTGACTTTGTTTGTACTGTGATCTATATATACCTGCACTTGCATGCTTACCCTTGCTAGGTTGAGATCACTATCTTGCTTGTTTACCTTGCTTTATAATTTTGTATGTGACCTGGCCTTGTGGCGTTGAACTGGTGCTCAGAATGTGTGGTGACATTGTGATCCACCCTGAGCTTGCTTTGCTTTGCTTGACTGGTCTTGTGACCTCTTGTTCTCCCCCACTTTGCCTTTGGGGGTGTGTCAAACTTATATGCTATAGTGTGTGTAGGCCGTAGTGGGGTAGTTCATATGGGGTACACCACTTTAGGGTTTCCTACTTGTACTCCTGATGCTGCTCAATGCAATCATTCGTCGTTCTTATTCTCACACGCGATATACGAGAGTGTCAAAGTATATGCATGTTATATATGTGTAGGCTGTAGTGGGGTAGCCAATATGGGGTACAGCCCCTTTTAGGGTTTCATACTTGTACCCAACTCTTCCATAGTTGATTCATTCCTGTCTCTAGATTCTAACATGGTTTCAGAGCAGTAGGTCCGTAGGACCGTCTTTTTTTTTCGGGGCCCACCTACCGCTACCCCACGACTGTGACTGTGACTGTGCCTGTGACGTGCTGCGCTGCGCGCGCCGTCTGCCTGCTGCCTGCTGTCTGCTGACTGCGCGGTCTGCTACTGCTTAGAGCGCGCATACCTGATTCCTGCGCGCGGCCCGGTTTTTGCCCCGCGCGTCGCCCAAGCTGCCTGAGTCGCGCCTCGTCAGCCCGCGCGCGGCTCGCTGCTCCTCCGCGCGCCGCGTCGGCAGCCCGCGCTGCTTGCTGCAGCCCCGCGCGTCGCGTTGCAGCCCCGCGCGTCGCGTCCGCTGCCCGCACGTCGCGCTGCAGCCCCGCGCGCCGTGGCTGCCGTCCTCGCGCGGCCCTCTGCGGCTTCGCGCCCTGCGCCCGCAGCTCGCGTAGCCCGCTGCAGCCCCGCGCGCCGCGGCTGCCCCTGTTCGTCACGGCGCCCCCCCCCTGGACGCCGCCCCTGCCTGACTGCCGCCGTCGCTCTTGCAGCAGCTGCCGCGGAGCGCCCTGCCACAGTCGCGGCCCCGCCCTGCAGAAGCTGCCGCGAAGCCTCCTGGTGCTGTCGCGGCCCCACCCTGCAGCAGTCCTCGCGGCCCCGCCCTGCAGCAGTCCTCGCGGCCCCGCCCTGCAGCAGTCCTCGCGGCCCCGCCCTGCAGCGGTCACGGCCGCGCCCTGCAGCAGCTGTCGTGGACCTGCTCTACCGCCGATGCGGCCCTGCTGTGCCGCAGCTGTCGCGGCCGCGCCGTCGCCGACGTCGTGCGCCTACCCAGCCGCCGCCCGCCGAGCGCCGGCCCTGCTCGCCCGGCGAGCGCCTGCCCTTCCCACCAGAGGTGAGCAACTACCTTGTTCGCGCGTTGCCGCGCCATCTGCCTGCCTGTCTGCCTGCCTGCCTGCCTGCCTGCCTGCCGCACCTGCCCTGCCCGCGCTGCTACTGCTGCTACTTCTGTTACTGCTGCTAGGCTGTTGCTGCTGCTACTGCTGCTACTTCTGCTACTGCTGCTCTTGGCGGTGGCCAGATGCAGCTCCAGCGACGTCCACGCGAGTCTCTCACGGCCCCAGTAGCTTCGTGAGTGGTACGCTAGTTGGGGTTGTGGCAGTAGCAGTCGTAGCTGTCGCCCTGGAGCTGGTCAGTTGGGAGCGTCTGGGAGTGGCCAGCTGCAGCTGCAGCGGCGTCCACGCGAGACACTTACGTCCCAGCAGCTTCACGAGTGGTACGCTCAGAGTAGAGGGTCTCGGAGTACCGTTCGCTGCCCGTACGTCATTCGCACAGGTGATCGGGCTGGTCAGGCTTGCGGGACGCTTGGTCACACACAGTCCCGCTGCTTCGCCCGTCTGAGCGACGCCTGGCGTACCGAGTTTGGCGACGAGGCTGAGCTCCCCACCTGGCTGGAGCTGCTTAGGCAGAGGGTAGATATCTTTGCTCTTGACTATGATGGTATTCTCACTGCCATGTATGCATTGCCTACTAGTGCTGACGGTGCCTGTTACCTGTGCGTACCGCCTGACCCAGGTATAGAGCCTGCTGCTCTAGGTACTGGTGAGGCTGCTGCTCTGGGTGCTAGTGCGTCTCCTGCTCTAGGTACTGGTGAGGCTGCTGCTCTGGGTGCTAGTGCGTCTCCTGCTCTAGGTGCTGGTGAGGCCGCTGCTCCAGGTACTGGTGAGTCTGCTCTCTCTGGTACTGCGCCTACCGAGGCCTTGTACACCTTCACACTTGACTCAGGTGCTTCCCGCTCCTTCTTTCGCGACAGCACCACCCTCACGCCGCTCAGTCGGCCGATTGCAGTCTCCCTGGCAGACCCCTCTGGGGGTCCAGTCCTTGCGCACTCCTCCACGGTCCTGCCGTGTCCGGCGGTCCCGACTGGCTCCCTGTCAGGTCTTCACCTCCCCTCGTTCTCTACGAACTTGGTGAGTGGTGCTGACCTCTAGGACCAGTGGGTTGACCACTTCACTCCTGGAGGTCAGCGCGTGACCCACTGTACGTGCTCCCGGACGGGCCGGCACCTGGCCACGTTTACCCGTGCGCCTGGCTCGAGTCTGTACACACTGACTACTGTGTCCCCTCAGGTCGCTGCGTCCGCGTCTGCGTCAGGTTAGCTAGCGGCCCCCTGCTCGTGTCGCGCTTTGTCGCACCAGACCCTCCTTTGGCACCACCGTCTTAGTCACCCCTCGGTGCAGCGCCTTCGTAGCATGCACCGCCGTGTCCTTGTCTCTGGTCTTCCCAAGGTTCTCCCTCCCCTCCCTCCCTCGCTTGCTCCTCCCTGTCTTCCCTGTGTTGAGGGGCGGCAGCGCGCCGCTCCTCACTCCTCCTCGTTTCCCCCGACGACTGCTCCCCTGCAGACCCTGCACATGGACGTGTGGGGCCCAGCTCGCGTTAGTGGGCAGGACCGCGAGCGGTACTTCCTGCTGGTTGTTGACGACTACTCGCGTTACACCACGGTCTTCCCCTTGCGCACCAAGGGTGAAGTCCCTGATGTTTTGATCCCTTGGATCCGCGCTGCCCGTCTCCAGCTGTGCGAGCGGTTCGGGACGGAGTTTCCCGTCCTGCGTCTGCACTCTGACAGAGGTGGGGAGTTTTCCTCCGACCTCCTGCAGAGCTTTTGTCGTGGGGAGGGCATTCGCCAGACGTTCACGCTTCCGGTCTCTCCGCAGCATAATGGGGTTGCTGAACGCCGCATTGGCTTGGTCATGGAGGTCGCTCGTACCTCCATGGTCCATGCGGCTGCCCCCCATTTTATGTGGCCGTTTGCGGTCCGCTACGCCGCGCATCAGCTCAACCTCTGGCCCCGTGTCTCCTTGCCAGAGACCTCGCCCACACTGCGGTGGACGGGGGAGGTTGGCGATGCGTCCGTGTTCCGGGTTTGGGGTTCTCGTGCCTTTGTCCACGATACCACATCGGACAAGCTCTCCGCCCGCGCTGTTCCCTGTGTCTTCCTTGGTTTTGTCCCTGACGCACCTGGTTGGCAGTTTTACCACCCCACCTCGCGCCATGTCTTCCCCTTTCAGGACGTCACGTTCGACGAGTCGGTTCCCTTTTACCGTCTCTTCCCCTACCGCACTGCCCCTCTCCCCCCCCCCCCGCCGCTCTTCCTCGCACCAGGTGCTTCCCAGGTAGCCCCCCTCCCCGCTCCCGGTCTTGCTCCTTCAGGTGTGTCTCAGGTAGACCCTCCTCCCTTGACTGCGCCGGTTGAGGTCACTGGTGACTCAGGTCCTGCTGAGGGTGGTCCTGCTCGGGGTGCTGCTTCTGGGGGTGCTGAGCCTGGGGGTGCGGAGCCTGGGGGTGCTGGTCCTGGGGGTGCGGAGCCAGGAGGTGCTGAGCCTGGGCGTGAGGAGTCTGGGGGTGCTGAGCCTGGGGGTGCTGAGCCTGGGGGTGCTGAGTCTGGGGGTGCTGCACCTGGGGGCGCTGCGGCGTCTGGTGAGCTGTCTCCTTGGAGCGGCCGTCTCCGTAGTCGCTCTGCTGGTGCCTCGCCGCTGCATTCTTGTCGTCGTCTCCCTCTCTCCCCACAGCAGCTGCGTGAGTGGTACGTTGGCCGTCAGGGTCGAGCTGCTGGAGCTGGGGGCCCTGCTGCGGGAGGCGCTGGTGTTGGAGGCACTGGAGCCAGCACTGTCCCTCTCTCCCCACAGCAGCTGCGTGAGTGGTACGTTAGCCGTCAGGGTCGCGCTGCTGGAGCTAGGGGCCGTTCTGTGGGAGGCGCTGGAGCTGGTGACTCTGCTACTGGAGTTGCTTCTACTGGAGTTCCTGGGGCAGCTGGTCCCGGAGGTGCTCGTACTGGAGGTACTGGAGCTGCTGGGGCTGGAGGTCCTGCTGGACCTGGAGGTGCTGCTGTTGACTCTGAGGTTGGAGGCCCTGGAGCTGGGGGTGCCGGTTCTGGGGGTGCTACTGCTGGTGGCGCTGGAGCTGGAGGTTCTAGAGCTGCTGCGGGTGCTGGCGCTGGAGGTTCTGGCGCTGTTGGAGGTGCTGGCGCTGGTGGCGATGGAGCTGGAGGTTCTGGAGCTGCTGCGGGTGCTGGCGCTAGAGGTTCTAGAGCTGTTGGAGGTGCTGGCGCTGGTGGCGCTGGAGCTGGAGGTTCTGGAGCTGCTGCGGGTGCTGGCGCTGGAGGTTCTGGAGCTGTTGGAGGTGCTGGCGCTGGTGGTGCCGGAGCTGGAGGTTCTGGAGCTGTTGGAGGTGCTGGCGCTGGTGGCGCCGGAGCTGGAGGTTCTGGAGCTGCTGCGGGTGCTGGCGCTGGAGGTTCTGGAGCTGCAGGAGGTGCTGGAGCTACTGGTGCTGGTGGCGCTGCGCCGCCGCGACTGTTCTTCGCTCCGCCGTCACCTTCGTCTCTGCCACCGCCTGGCTCCGTGCTTCGCCAGGTTCTTAGCCTCCCGTCTTCTACTGGTCTTCCGTTACAGCCTGGCTCGCCGCTGCCTGCTCCTTCTCCTTACACTGAGCTGACAGGCGGTCTTGATGAGCGTCGTGAGCCTGCGTCTCGTCCTGTCTCGCCTGTTCGCACTGTCCGCACTGGTCATACTGGTCGTCGTGTTCCTCGTGAGCGTCCGCCGGCTGTCCCAGGCACACACCTCATGGCCCTGCGTCCTTCCTCTGCTCCGCAGCGTGTTCCCCTGCCGTCCCCGCCTGCGTCTTCTCTGCCTGACGTTCCAGAGCCTAAGTCTGACCGCGCTCGTGCTGCTCACCCTACTGTCGTTTGAGTCTGCTGCTGCGTCTGCCTTAGTCACTGAGCTTGTTGACTTTGCTGCTGCCTGTCGTCTAGACTACGCCGCTAGTCTTGTTGCTGAGTCTGAGTCTGTCTGTCCTCCGTCCGTCGGGGGTGAGTGTGCTCTTGGCACGGACGTCCTTGAGGACAGGCAGGAGGACCTTGAGTGTCTTGCAGCCTCTACGCCTCATCTCGTGTCCATGCTGCTTGCCCCTGAGGAGACCCGGATGCTCCAGACATCCCGCCGACCCCGCGCTCTTACGCTGAGGCGATCGCGGGTGAGTACTCCTCTCAGTGGCAGACAGCCATGGATGCAGAGATGGCATCCTGGAAGTCCACAGGCACTTACGTTGACGAGGTTCCCCCTCCTGGGGCGAACATCGTCGATGGCATGTGGATTTTCAAGGTGAAGCGGCCGCCAGGTTCTCCGCCTGTCTTCAAGGCTCGTTACGCTGCTCGAGGTTTCAGTCAGCGAGAGGGAGTTGACTTCTTCCAGACCTTCTCTTCCACCTCGAAGATGACCACTCTTCAGGTGCTGCTGCACGTTGCCGCTCAGCGTGACTACGAGCTTCGCACTCTTGACTTCAGCACAGCTTTCTTACAGGGCAGCCTGCATGAGGAGATCTGGCTGCGCCGCCCTCCTGGCTTCACTGGGTCGTTCCCTCCTGGTACCCAATGGAGCCTCCGGCGGCCGGTCTATGGTCTCCGCCAGGCGCCACGTGAGTGGCACGACACACTGAGGACGACACTTGCTGCTCTTGGGTTTGCTCCGTCGACTGCTGACCCGTCGCTGTTTCTGCGCACCGACACTTCGCTGCCGCCGTTCTACATCCTCGTGTACGTCGACGACTTGGTCTTCGCCACTGCTGACACTGAGGCTCTCGCCCTGGTGAAGTCGGAGCTGCAGAAGAGACACACGTGCACAGACCTGGGTGAGCTGCGCAGTTACCTTGGCTTGCAGATCACCCGGGACAGAGCACGCCGCACCATCACACTGACTCAGTCACACATGGTGCAGCAGGTCCTTCATCGCTTCGGCTTCACCTGGTCCTCGCCACAGCACACTCCTCTGGCTACAGGTCACTCGCTCTCAGCTCCACCTTCGGACGAGTCCGTAGAGCCGAGTGGTCCTTACCCAGAGCTAGTGGGCTGCCTTATGTACCTGATGACCTGCACTCGTCCTGACCTTGCATACCCTCGTGGCCTTCTGGCTCGCTACGTGGCTCCTGGTAGGCACCGAAAGGTACACATGGATGCTGCTAAGAGGGTACTGCGCTACTTGTGCAGTACATCGGGCATGGGGCTCGTGCTTGGAGGACGGGGCGACGTTGTCCTCACTGGGCACTCGGACGCTTCTTGGGTTGACGACCTGGCTACGCAGCAGTGGTGACAGGGTTACACCTTCAGCCTTGGCTCTGGCTCTGTTTCTTGGCGGTCTACACGCTCGTCCTCTGTTCTCGGCTCCAGTTGTGAGGCTGAGATCTACGCCACAGCCATGGCTGCAGAGGAGCTCCGCTGGCTCACCTACCTGCTGACCGACCTGGGAGAGCGGCCTCGTTCTCCTCCAGTGCTGTACGTAGACAACAAGGCCGCCATTGCCTTGTGTCAGGAGCACAGACTGGAGCACAGAACGAAGCACATCGCTCTGCGTTACTTCCTGGCTCGAGAGTTGCAGCAGCGTGGTCAGCTTCGTCTTGCTCACGTGGCCACTCGGGCCAACACTGCTGATATATTCACCAAGGCACTTCCGTCTGGTGATCATCAGCGTTTTTGTACTTTGTTAGGCCTTGTGCCCACGTTTCCTCACTTGCTGTAGCCTTTGCTTGTACCGTGATCTATATATACCTGCATGCTTGCTCTGCTAGGTAGAGATCACTGTGCTGTTGTTGTTGCATATATACCTATGCATGTGAACTGGCCTTGTGGCCCTTTGCTTGTGCTCAGTGTGTGTGGTGACGTTGTGATCCACCCTGAGCTTGCTTTGCTTCTCCTGACTGGTCTTGTGACCCCTTGTTCTCCCCCACTTTTCCTATGGGGGTGTGTCAAAGTATATGCATGTTATATATGTGTAGGCTGTAGTGGGGTAGCCAATATGGGGTACAGCCCTTTGTAGGGTTTCATACTTGTACCCAACTCTTCCATAGTTGATTCATTCCTGTCTCTAGATTCTAACAGAGAGATAAGGCATGCAGATGACAGAGGCGAAGAGCAGGCATCCCAGTTGCTGCTGGTAGGTCTGAAGTCCAGCGGGGGACAGGGCTTTGTTGTGAGGTTTGTGGTTCGGTCCCGGTGTGCGTTAAGGGGTGGAGAGCGGTGCAGGCGCGATGTTGAAGCGTTTGCCAAGTTTCTTCTGCATACTTGGCAGCTGAAAGATTAATAGCGTCTGGTGCGTAGGAGATGTTGAGGCCGAGGAACTGATTTACGTCATGGTTGCAGGTGATGTCGACGCACCCTGCAAGGTTCTTCTCGAACTGCTCAAGTAACTCGTCCGCTTGCGCTTACCTACTACGTTCACAATGCTTCCCATGTTCAGCTACTAAAGCGCTACAAGGACCCCAACCAGCAGTTTCAGGGACGACAGCTACTGCCACCACCACCTGTTCTCATGCAGGATGAACTAGAGTACGAAGTGGAGCACGTTCTCACTCATCGGCGCCGCGGCGGCAAAACCCTCGGGTTCCTGATACGCTGGAAAGGTTATGACCCCACCAAGAACAGTTGGGCTGCAGAAGCTGATATGGGCAACGCACGCCGTGCTCTCAAGGACTATCTTGTCAAGCAGGGTGTATCTCACGCCACCCAGATTTGAGGAGGGGACGTGTGACAGTACGACGGCTTATGCTTGGCTTTGCTAGCTTGCCTTGACTTTATTATGCTATTACTAGCTTCGGTTTTATTTATCATGCATAGATATGCTTGATTTTCTACGTTAGGTGCATTTTTATGTTCTATTATAGTTATATCACCGAACCATGTTACTTGTACCGAACTCAGGCCTTTTCGGTTGCCGCCGAATTGCTCTCTATCGAGTTCGGAAAGGTTCTGGTCAGGACGCTTCGCGACCCTCATAACATTCGCGTAACACATGGGTTACCTGCCTTGTGTCGAGACTATATATAGCTTCGTGTTGTACACAGGCAAATCAATCATTTTACAACCCACTTTTCTGAGATCGATCCTCGATCCTCACAAAGCTGATATGGGCAACGTTCGCCTTGCTTTCAAGGATTATCTTGTCAAGCAGGGTGGTTCTCATGCCACCCAGCTTTGGGGGGTGGACGTGTGAGAGTACGACAACTTTGCTGGACTTTATTGCTTGATTTTGCTTTATTATGCATTATCTAGCTTAGCTTTGTTTTATCTTGCATGTTTTGCTTGATTTCCTAGTTTCGTTGCTGAACTATAGTTATTATAGTTATAGGCACCGAAATAGGTTGAGTGCACTGAATTCTAGGCTTTTCGGTTGCCACCAAATTGCCTTCTACCGAATTTGGGAAAAACCCGTTCAAGACGCTTCGCGACCCACGGAACCTTCTCGTAACACCCGGGTTACTGCCTTTGTGTTGAGCCTATATATAGCCTCGTGTTGTACCCAGGTGATCATATTATACTTTCTGAACCAGTTCCTTCGATCCTCACAAACAAGGTGCGGGTACCACGGGAGGCAGCTACAGCGTAAGCACTGGTCTCAGCCTCCAAGAGTCGTGACTCAACGAGGCTAGGGTGAGCTCGGTGGGTCGAGAGAGAGGAAGTGGTCTTGGATGGGGCAATGGGAGTCAAAGAGGGAGTTCTCAGCCAGAAACTCTGGCTTGAGAGCAGCACGATGGCGAAGGTTATTGGAGCGCAGGTGAGTCATGAGGTCAGCGTCAGTGGGGATGTTGGACTGAGGTACGGCAGAAGCGGGCGGCCTAGGACGGCAAAGGAGGGGGAGAAATAGTGTTTCACTACAGCGTCGTAGAGCGCTTTGGCCGTTTTTAGCTGGCGAAAGTGGGCTCGCTGGTCGGACGGGAGGTGGTTGCGGACTGCAAGCGCCGCAGTGGCATCCCGAGCTAACCACCGTGTACTAGCTATTTGGTAAGCCTTATACTACTGCTGTGCTTCTGCTGTCGCGGTAGGGGCAGGCGCAGTCGGAGTGGGGTGAGGAGAGGGAGCCTGAGGTGTGCTCAAATAGAGATAAGTTGTCCTTGGTAACGCTAAGAAGGTACAAGTAAAGCCCCTCGAGCCAGAACTCGTAATCGACAGGGCTACCCTCGGCATCAAACTCCAGTACAGTGGGAGTCGCTATAGTGAGCAGTTCGGCCTAGCGACAGTGACGAAGAAGGCAGTGAAAGGGGCAGTGCTAGGATGGAGAGGCAGCAGTAGGCCCGGGCGACACGGATAGGGCGGCTCGGCAGGGCGGCTCAGCAGGGCGGCTCGGCGCAGAGTGCGGCAATGTGGGCAGCGCGGGCGGCAATGCGAGTGGTTGGGCTGAAGTGGGCGGCGGGGCTGTAGCGTGGGTGGCAGTAAGGGCAGCAGCAGAGCGAGCAGCAGCGCAGCAGCTCGTGTGGGGCAGCGTGCGGTTGGGCAGCGCGCAGGCGCGGCGCGCAGCAGGGCGGCTCGTGGGTAGCGCGGCGTGCGGCGAATGGGGTGCAGCGGATCGCAGTAGCGGCGTGCGGCAGGCGGTGCAA